AGCAGGAATCAAAACAAGAAATAATAATTTTCAGTGTAACAGAGAAAGAAATCCTGACTTTCACATATCCATAGAACTGCTTGCAGGATTGTTTTTGGGTGGTGAATAGCTTGGCTAATCCAACAGGAAGCTATAATGACTACTGACATGACTTTATTTTTTTTTCTGTTCTAAATTGCTCATTTTTATCAGGGAAGTGACAGTGCTCACACTACAAACAGTTTTAGGTTGTGTAAAAACCCTACAGAAATAGAGCATTTGCGTTGTCTGTTCACATTGTAGCTATTTAGGGATTTCTTGAACTCCTACATGAAAGCATCGCTTTTAATTGCCCTACAGTTATATTTACTAAATGTTAAATGCGTTTTCTTCCTTTTGATAGTAGCCAGAATAGAGATGTGTGGCCCTTACTATTAATGGTATAATGGCAGATCTGCAAAAGAAAATTTTGTTAAACTCATCTGCCAGAAAAGACCACTGTCATTAATATTGCAGATCCAAAAATCTCAAGTCAGTAGCGAGAAGTGTCTTCAGGAAATTGTTTTTAAAAACTTGATGTTTGTATCATCATTGAAATAGATGGTGACACAGCATTTATTCAAAGTATTAAAAAAAAAAAGTTGTATGCCAAAAGTTTCCTCCAGTAACCTAAAGAAAATGTTTGCGATTTTTAAATTTGCTTATAATATTGCAATAGTAATGGCAGTTTATGGCTGAGAGCAACATATCCATACCAGAATTGTTAGATCTGTCTGCTGCCTCTGAAATGATTGAAATGAGATATTACTTGTTGTGACTGTGATGTCTAGTGAGCAGACAGGAGTGGAACTCATTTGAATGCCTTTGGGAGCCCCAGATAATTTTCATTTGAATAGTCTCCCAGCTCTAGTATGTGCTTCTCTGTTTATTTAATATTGCTTACTGTTCTATGGAATGTACATCTGTGGGCATACATGTACATACGTGTATTTATACATATGCGTATGTATAGACGTACACAAATGTGTACATACATATTTCTGTTCATGTCATTCTACACATATTTATGAATAAGCTGGACCTATTTAATTTCTGTTACAAATAGAGTAGTGTTAGATAGATGTCCATGGAAAAAGAAAATACTTTGTTAAGGGGAGGATGTACACAAAATGACTTTGAATTACAGCTTCTGTAATCAATAGTTCTTGTCCGTTATGTAGAAATTTATGGTCCATCACAGGGGATTTTTCCCCAATTCTCATACTAAATGCTTAAATCAATGGGAGACAGAATATATCTGCTTTCCTTGTCTGGACTTTAGCTGCCTCACAATTATCTCGTAATGTGCTCTGTTGAGGTACTCTGAGGGGACCTTCTGAAACTGGTAGTTCACAGGTAGTTTAGGGTATAGAAGCTTTTTCATTAACTGCCTTGTTATGTTGAGAGTCTAGTGTCAGTGCTCAATTACATCAGCTGTTCAGGGAATTGCTTTGATAATTCAAGGTTCTGGTTTATTTTGGCTTTTCAAGCTCAACACTTTCACTTGTTTAGATTACAACATCTCTTCACATTGTGGTTGCCTGGAAATGCAGTCAGTAGCAGAATATGAACAGGCAGTATAAAAGAGAGCAATGATGGAGACAGCCACAATAGCAGTGAAAACATGTAAGCCTCTGGTACCCTCGTGCCATGTGAAGGGTGCATGTTTCCATGCCGCTTCGTTAGAGACAGGCTGCAAGCAGTTGAGGACAGGGAGGTACTGAAGATGCGTACTTCTCTGCTTTGGAAAACTCTAGCTCCCTCTATAACCGGTATGTGAGATCAAAGGGCCACAAAGAAGCTGTTACTGGTATGTGAAACACATGAGAATGCCCTGCATGGCAGCACTGAAATGAGCCAGGAGCTAATCATGTTTCTGTTATAATAGTGGGGAAGGGAGAGGGCTGAAAACTCTTACATGTCTCTGGCAAACACATGAAGCTGCCATTAGAATATTCCTTAGGAAAGGGATCCATAGTAATTTCTTAACAGTGGGACAAGAGAAGGGTAGTTGAAGTTTAATTACCTGTTGTCCTGCTTTACTGGGGCCCTGTCTTCCACGGCTGACATCTTGAGAGGGACTTGTTTACCATCCTACATCTGAGGCCTACTCCTCCACAATATTGACTGAGTATAACTCTGTGTGTTTTATAATGTAACTGTTATTAATATTAGTTGCTATTATTTTATTAAATATATTTCTATTTCAACCCGTGAATCTCCTTTCCTTCTCCTGACCCCCTACCCCAGGTGGGGAGGAGGCATTGGATGATAGAGCAACTGTATAAACCCATGACACCTGTCCATGGGTGGTCAGGTTCAGTTTTTTTAGCAGTTAAATTTTCACATGCTTATTGCTGTGTTTAAACTGTTGGAAAGCCGACCCCATCATTAATGCATGTATGTGAAATATATGTATGCTCAAAAGATGTCAAACTTCACAGTGTACACTCAAATGGGATGTCGTAGCAGAATAAGATTCTGTTACAAGGAAATCAGTCCATGTTAGCAAAGGACATTTCTAAAAGTGTCTGTTTTGGTTTGTAGAACATGCAGCATCTCTTTGTCTTTATAAAGAACCCAAATTTTTAAGTAGCTTAGGGTTGTACAGTTACAGAAAAATGAAAGATAATGATTAATAATAATTAAAGCTTATATCAAGCTGGTATGTGATTTGCTCTTATGTTGGTGATTAACCGAGGTGTCTACGAAGGAAATGGCAGTTAAGAATTGCCTTTATGTTGTACTAGATCTGAATGCAAGAGTTTAGGGACGTATACTGTGAATCAAAATATTCGATACTATCATTTTTAGTGTTCCATTTCAAGAAGGAGATGCAAATGTAGGTTATATACTTAAGTTTTTTTTGGCTTTTTTCCTCAATAAATGTAGAACCTGGCCAAAGCAAAACTCTTCTACTAGAAACACATGTATTTTCTATTATTTGTTAATAGAGGAGAGAGACAAGTAATTATTCGATGTCAGAAGATCTCCCCTGATATTGTACTTACTGCAGCCTTGAAGCACATTGTCTGTCCACTCTGATATGAGATAATGTTGAAAATGTATTTGAAACTGAAATAACAAAATCACAAATGACAATGATTATTTATTTTGCTGCTTTTCTTTTCCCCCCTCAACTTCTATTAAAATACTGCACGTGAAGTCTTCAAATCTAATAGTGTGTGATAGAGTATTGATATAACTGGTACTACTTGACTGGCTTAAGGTATAAGTGAGAAATAGCTTTTTTTAAGTGTTTGTAAGCTAGATTTTTATTACGTTTCAGAGCTTTGAATTTCTACAAGGTGACATCCTGCTGAGCATATCTTTATTTAAATAAAGTATATCCTGAGCCAATGTGGTGATGTAAATTTGAGATACCTCACACAAAGTTTATGCAATTATAGACAAATGTATGCACTTTATCTTGGCTTAAACTATAATTTAGTTATCAGAATATCTAATGAAATGCTGTCATGACTTATGCTGGTTTACAGTGACATTTAGAAAAAGTACAATTTTTTTCATTCGTATCTGTCCGGTTAAGTTCATTCTGTATGAGATAGCCTAAATGTGTTATCGGATGTGACAGAGGCTCTCTGAAACTTTGCTTGAGTTTCTTTCGTCTGCCTTTTCCTCTCAAACTGCAATCATAATGATATAAGGGGTGAGATTTCATTTTAGATGGCTTGTTTTTGTGACAGGTGGTGGTGTGGAGTTCTTGCATGTTGTCAGAGCGACTGTAAGGTGAACGCTATGCCTTTAATCTTTATTTTCTATGGTGGAGTTTTGCCATGTGTATTTAATATCAAAGTCTTTTACATTTTCTGCCTATGTGAAACAAAAGCTTTCAGGATTAGTGAATGTGTCAGAGCAACATTTGGAAATAAGACTTTGAATCTGTTTTTATCTCTACTTTATTTGATATTCTTGTATTGAGAATAAAAAAAAAATCACTCTGGCAACTGTTGTGTATTTTGCAAACTGTTAAAATGATATTGGTAAATACTGCAGCCTGGAAGACTTAGGAACTCTTTATTGTTCATAGAAGCGATGTGGGACTTTAGATTGTTTTCTAATACACAAAGTCTTTGTTGTGGTACAAAATTTCTTAATCGGCTTTGGAAGAACACGAAACATTGATGCTCTGGAAAGATTCGGAGGGAAGAGACTGTCGCTGTCTCCACAGCCTGTCTAGACCTCATTGTGTATCCATAATGTGTCTTAATTTCAATACTAGATTGGAAATTAGTAGATTGCCTCCTTTTATAGGATAAGGATAAGGTTCATTTGGTACTAAAGTAAGGGACAGAACAAATACCTTTATAGTGTTAAGTCAAAGCACTGTTGAATTTGCAGATGCATTCTACAACTATCACCAAAAATTTAATATCTTCCTTTCATTGAAAAGAAATTATACTCTTTAAGAGAATGCCCAAGTAAACACAATGGTTAGACTGCAGAGACTTGTATTAAAGCAAAATGACATGGTATTTTTTCTTATATGCGGTTTGCTGACCTAGTAAGCAAGACATTATGAAAGAAAATTTGAGTTTTTGCAAAGTAGATAAAACAACAACAATATGAGGTTAATTAATTGTTCCTGCTAATATTCAAATGTTGTATACTCATTTGAAAGTGCAATTAGTTATCTTGGGAGTTTGTTCACAACTGTGGGATTTAACTAAAAATAACAATTTTCTTGTTAGCATGCAATAAATTCTGAGAAGATTTAATTTTGGTGTAGTAAGCATAAACAAAGATGAGGGCAGTTTTAAACAATGCCTTTTGTTATGTAAACTGTTTACAACTTTTCTTTACCTCGCTCTTCTCAGGGCTAAGCATCCTTTATAAATTACACTTGAGTGTAGGTTGCAGTTAATTAGTGAGCTTTGCATGGCAATGTTATTCCTTGTTAGCTCAAAGTATTCTCAGAGGGTGGTATGCTTTTATGGTTTTATCATATGCTTGAGTGTAGTGAAGCTGACATCTACTTTTTTTCCCTGAAATAGTCTCTTTACTACAGTTTCTAGCAGTCCCATTTTGCTATTCTGGTTTTGGAAGTCCAATAAATTATTTCAGCAGTTTGTCTCCATATCAGAGTTTTCCCATTGAGTGTCCAGTTTAACTAGTTTAACTGCCTTCCTACTTTCAGGAAGTGCGGAGTTTGACTAGCTTTGGATGCCTGAGAAGAGAACCTAAATTTCCAAAAGAAACATCCCCTATAAAGAAGAACCTCAAGAGTATCTAAACCAAAGTCCCATTGGAATACTAGCTATAATCCCTATAGATGGAAACTGTGGAAGTTGCAGACTTCTCAGTTTGCTGGATTCTACTTTGTGTTTTAACCAATGCCACAACAGCAAAATTTGAAGAGACTAGTAGAAATAAGTATTTTTATGGCCTAATACTTGGCTCTTACTACTGATTACATCCAGACTTCATCATTTGTGTCTAATATATACTAAGACACTTAAAAACCGTGGAGTTTGCTTCCATTGCTTATAATGTGTAATTCACTGGGTAAATATATGAAATGTAGAGGTATCTAGCATAGTTATAATTGGTGCATAGTTGAAGAATAGAAACCAAGCAATGAGGCAGTAAATAGAGTAGATGATCTCTCTTCATATAGCTCTTATTTTCAGTTAGGTTTAGCAGGTTTTTTTGTTCATAATGATGCAGAACAGAGGCAAACTGATGGCAAGCCCTTCTCAAAACTGTGAATGTTGTGGAAATGTGAGCACTAAGAGGCCACTGCATTTTTAAAGTTTAATTGTACGTTTCTTCCTAGGGCAACTATTTTCCCAGAAATCAAGGAGTTCAAATGATGCTTGAAAAGTTTGTTGAAGTTTGGTAATATATTGTGATGCGCACATTTGAACATGAATCAGAAGTGTATTGTACACTTCCAGGACAATTTAAGATCCAAAATGAAAGGAATTTAAATAAAGGTGGGAATATGTTTCTGAAAGAGATATATAATTCCTCAGCAATTTGCATAATTAAGAAACAGAGGTGAATTTTGATCCTCAGTAGTAATTGGCTATTCATTAAAGATAGGCTTGCTCACTGCACTCATCTGCAAATTATTCAGCCCTCATTAAATTGGTGCTGAGGCAGCAGTAGTGCTTGAAGAATGTGTCAGGACTATAAATGATCAGATTCACTGTAGATCTCAAAGCAACTTAGTCTGACTCAAATTTTCAGAGTAAACAATGGATTTAACATGAAGTTAAGGGGCTGATTCTGACAGAGTTGCAGGCTCCTCTTCAACTCATAATCTGAACAATTTAAAGTGCCAGATACAGTGAGGACAGGATGAGTTTCTCAGTTGTGGTTTTTGGATGTCTTGAGAATATGCATTCATCAAGGTCTTGAGGAAGAAAGACCAAATCTTCAGAACTCTGAGGAGTAACTTTCTTCCCACTTACCTGTTGAGCAAAGATCATCTGACCTTTCAGTAAATAAGCTGGTGTTCTTGAGAAGAAAAATTTACACACATATGGGGCTGATTTCATGTCAGCAAGTGTTTTTCTGGAGGGCAGAATTGATTTCTTCTGTGTTTTTTGTTCATCTGGTTTGATAACAATATTTTTCAAGAGGCCTGGAAACTGGCATCTTACACCAGCAAGTTCTGGGTACAGAGAACAGGCAGTCTGGTTTCCTGCCTCTCTGATCCTCTTGATAAGCATCTTTGGCAAGATATTTGAAGCAAATAAATCAGTTTCCTACATTCCTTTTGCATTAAATGAACCAACCATAGAGTTCAAGTGAAGGGTTTTTAACTGCCATTATTTCTTAAACCTGAAGAAGAAACTGGATTGGCGTTCTCATTTGGCACCCTTGCAGTCGCTCAGTTGCTTCAAGTACTTTGAGACTCCCAGTTACGATGACTGAACTTTTCATCAGTGTGAGAGATAAGGCCTAGATTTATGCTTTTTCTTTTTTTTTCTTTTTCTTTTTTTTCCGAAGGAATTATTTTGATAGTCACAGCACACTGGTGACTGCAGATGTCACAGGCTGACATTCCCGAATTTTCTGTTCACTCTGTTTTGTCCTGTTGGCTTTCGTGCACTGCAGCAGTTGTTATTTCTGCTGATAAGCCTTGGTGATATCAAGACTCGGTCTCTGCTCTCGCCAGCATTCTTCAGCTGTAGTCCACCACAGCATGGAATTAATGCCACGTAGTTGAATATTTGCTTTAAGCACGTCCTTGGAGCATTTTGGTGGCCTACTTCTCAGCTATTTACCATATTTTAATCAGACATTAAAAAAAACGTTTTGAATAATCTACTTTTGGCATCCTAACAATGCGCCCAGAGTAGCATAAGGCGGTGGCTTCGATGGTTTGTATTTGATAGCATGGTAATCAGCAGTCATGTCTGTATTTTGACTTGTTACCCTAGCAAAGAGCCAAAGCCGATACATATGGAATTTGAGATATCAGACACAATGATTACACGTTGCCTAGATATTATAACTATTAAGGATTATGATGACTATCATGTGTGTTGATTTTGCTTGAAGTCTTTTGTTTCTGATGGGCTGCATTTATCTCCTAAGGCTGCTCTGGGTTTCATGGTCCACCCTGGGACCTTGTCATCATTAAAGGGGT